TGTGCTTGTTCTACTGAAGCTTCTCCCAACTGTGCAATAAATAGACTGTACATAAGAGTTTGGTCTTAGGCTTCAAGCCGAATTGGCTCTAAATCATATCCGCTATTCTGTTTGCCATCTCCTCAGGATTCATACGTGCTGCCTACCGTGCATGTTGATTCTGACATTGCTGGACATTATAATTTTGCGTATTCTGATACCCTGGATGCGGTGCATAGTTGTAAGTATAGTAATCGGAAACCTCATGAAAACCTTGCGGGATTTCACAATATTGAACCCCTCGAGATGTGGATCCCTGAATCTGATTGCTGAAGTAAGTAGGATCAACATCTCTAATAATCCTTTGTTATAACGGCCCTATCTTCTGAGGTTGTGACGTCACCTATTGATTCATACCTCCACCTAACTGACTTGAAGTAGAAGCTTGTAATTGTTGTACAGGTGGGTTGTGTTGTGCCCACATCGACAGCTCTAGGTGTAATGATTGTCTCTATCGACTCTTTATTGGCATCAGCAGTCGATGTTTCTAGATTGAAATATGTTGGTCACACCTGATCCACCGGAGCACCATGAAACACTCCTTCATCATGTTCCGGAGCGAGTTTAAGAATAGTTTGTTGTGACTTCCCAAAGCATCATGGACACTTGAATGGATAGTATCATATACAAGTTGCTTCTCTGCTTCAGTGTCATCCTGCCTTTGACCAGGCACAACAATATGTGGCAATCCAAGTTTCTTGTGAACTTTTCGTCAAGTTCTATCATAGGATTCCAGACATTTGATCTTCAAATCTTTAGGTAGCTTGTTGACAAGCTATTGGTCTTCCTCTAGCAACTCCTCAAAGGAAACGTTTGCGGCTTTACCTTTCTTAGGCATCTTGACGATTGTGGTCCCACCGAGCGAGCCAGAAAATGTGTCGACGTAGAAATCTAATCACCGCTCAGGACACACGATAAGCAAAGATGATTTTCTTTGACTCCAACAGGACAAGCCGGTTTTGAGTTTGTAGGCATGTGAACGCTCTAGTTTGGTTTTGGTAAATTGATGAAACCCTATGTGCTAACATAGTTTATCAAAGTGATTACGAGATAGGTTGCACATTCTAAGTGGTGAAGCAAATGAAGATCATGACATGATGATGGTGATGCCATGGTGATGATCAAGTGCTTGGACTTGGTAAAGAAGAAAGAGAAAAATAAAAAGCTCAAGGCAAATGTGAAATTGATAGGAGCTTTTCGGTTTAGTGATCGAGACACTTAGCGAGTATGATCACATTTAGAATCGATAGTCGTATTATTAAGAGGGGTGAAACTCGTATCGAAATGCGGTTATCAAAGTGCCACTAGATGCTCTAACTCATTGCATATGCATTTAGGATCTAGTGGAAAGCTAACACCCTTGAAAATGTTTGTGAAAATATGCTAACACTTGTGCACAAGGTGATACACTTGGTGGTTGGCACATTTGATCAAGGGTGGTGAAGTTTCGGGTCAAAAGGAGCTATTTCGTATTGACCGGACTCTGCCTTGGGTAGTGACCGGACTCTGACCCTGCGTTAGGTTAGTGGTGCGTAGTGAAGGCCGCCCTCGGTCCTTTGACCGGACGCTAAGAAGAAATAGGACTAGATGCACTGGGGGTGTGTCCGGTCAGGTGATGACATACGCTGATGAAAGCATCTGAACAGGCCAGTAAGGACCGGACTCTGGTCTACGTCTGGTCGCCTATGATCGGACGCGTCCGGTCATGAAAAAACAGCTATAGTGCCTTACTGGAAATGACCGGACTCTAGTGATGGAGCGTTCAGTCACTTTGAGCAGTGCGTCCAGTCACTATTTAACACATGGCATGAAGCAGACTAGCCATTGAGATTAGACGTTCAGCATTTGAAGCTAATGACACGTGGCGATCATCAAGTGATCGGACATAGGGGTCCAGCATCAGGTCAACCTGATTAGCACATCCAATCAGCCCGTGTTTCACTTGACAGAGGAGCCAACGGCTCTATTCGTGGGGGCTATCTATTTAAGCCCCATGGCCGGCTCAAGCTCACCCTCTTGGCCATTTGCATTGACATAGCAACCTTGTGAGCTTAGCCAAAACCCTCCCACTCATCTCCATCATTGATTCATCATCTTTGTGAGATTTGGAGAGAATCCAAGTGCATTGCTTGAGTGATTGCATCTAGAGGCACTTGGTGTTCATGTTTCGCTGCCGGATTCACTTGTTACTCTTGGTGGTTGCCGCCACCTAGATGGCTTGGAGCAGTGAGGATCGTTGAGCGAAGGTTGGTGATTGTCTCCGGCTCCGATCGCGGTGATTATGAGGGGTCTTGTGCCATCCCTAGTGGAGCGCCAAATGGTAACTCTAGTGGATTGCTCGTGTTATTGAGTTACCTCACTTGTGGGTAGGTTCTTGTAGTGTCCAATTGTGTGGGCGAGGTTCGTGCAACACCTCTTAGCCGCCGAACCACCAAGTGTTGGTATTACAGTTTGTATTATTTGAATACTTATGCAGCAAAGGCAAAACAAGTAATACTATTTCTAGTATTACTATCAGTTCTAGCTTCTTATCCTTCAGCCATTGTTTGCAAAAAAAAATTGAAATAATGTTTGTCTGATTTCTCACATAAAACTCATTTGCTAACAACTCCAAAAAAAATCAATTTGTGCATCTTCCCATACTTGAAGTCTAGTTGGAAAGGAAGAAATATAAAACAAAAGAACTTCCCCAAATGCAGTGAAGTGCTAGTTGAGCTGCATGTATGAATCATCCTAGCAACAAATTTGGAGAGGGCAGGAATACACAACGGATTGGAGGGCATGAATACACAATGGATTTTAGTGGCATACAATAATCAAGGCAATGCAATTACAGAATTGTAATGTTGTAGCTAAAACTTGTAAGATACAATAAGCAAGAGCAAAACAATATTCACTATTAATTCATTGGCCGAGAAGAATAGGAAAATGGGGCATACGCCACTCCCCCCATCTCCCTGTCTCATTTGCATTACCTCATAATGAATATATATTTCTTTAAATGGATTTGTCTCTTACAAAACCGAAACCAGCATAGCACAGTCAAAAAAGGTAAAGAAATCAAAGTTTACTACAGCACAGAGGAAGACAGAGTCAATGAGGGCAAGACTCGAAGACAAAATTACCTGGAGCTCACCAACATTGGCCATCAGCCCATCACGCCTACTTATTCAGCACCTGAACTTCATGGCCATAGCTCCATGACTACCAAAAACGCACTATGACAAGAGTCAGTTTGGTTGACAAATCAGAAAAGATAAAAGTTCATTAAGTGAAGTCTCTGACGCATAACTACATGGATAGCTGGATCTTCAATCGAAATTGACCGAACTCTAGCTGCAGTGGTGATCAAGTTGAAGTTTTAATTTGCCATGCTTATGCATTGAGCAAAAAAGGAGATGCTAACTAGTAAAAAATAGTTACTATATCACAGCAGTCACTTATAATGTAAAAAAATTAATCATAGTACTAACTATTGTGTCTCGGAATCAGTAGTCCACTAAATAAGTGAATCCACTCAATTATAATTTTATTAATGAATCATACCGTGGAATGTGTTTCTAAATAATACTTTTTATTGTCGCGTAGCAGGCTACGATTTCTATGACCAACTGTTTTCTGGAACAAATGATTTGTTATGACTAAGAATAAATTCAGAAATAAGTCTGTTTATCTGACAAATGAGGAACATGAGTTCTTCATATAATCAATTTTAATGGCAAAAGAAGATTAGGTCCAAGTACATAACACCATGTTCTTTACTAATGTGATTAAGTCTACCAAAATAGCAGTTTGAATCTCCTTTTTAAGCCTGTGAACTGAAAAGTCTAGTCTAGAACTAGAAGGAAAAGTACACAAATTATTTACCTAAATAATCTAGGACAGACATGAAAAGAAAATTGTTATATCTCTATATAACTAAAAAAGAAGCCATTAGATCAACCTTGCCCAGATTAATAGGACTGAACTCAATATACACAATTTATGAAGAGATGCTGTCAGGATGCAAGAAAACTAACCAAACATGAACTGAGATGATTTTATTAGAATTACATATATTACCATGTACCATTTTCATGAATGAAAACAACTCATAACTGCAGTAATAAAGAAAACAGGCACATTAACAGAAGGCTTATCCTGAGGCAAAGCAAGAAGCAGTCACAAAGCATAAGGTGATGAAGATGTGGCATAGCTGCCAGATGCCGTTGGGTGTCACCTGCCTTCGACGATCTCGCCATGCCACACAACACTCACCCTGACACCCTGTAGACGAGGGGGGTCTTCAACTAACATGGTTGAACTAGGGGGTGCTGGATGTACCCTCACTGGATCATGCACAACATCAAGCCATGGACCTGGTTGGGGAGTAAGTTCAGTTGACGGTGTGGTTTACTCAAAAGAAAAAGAAGGTGCATATGCATAGTATTATCAGCTGTAGATTGCATGATACAACAAGCCCATGAAAAAAGCTATTTGATTTAGAATGAAGAAAAAAAAGAATTGACACGTTAATTTCAGAGCTGCATTACACACAGACCTCTATAGTGAAAAACACCCAAGTATGAAATCGCTTAATTAACGTGGAGCTAGCCAGCATTGCCACATCCATGATCATTTAATTTACAAAACATTGTAATAGAAAGAGATTGATTAATCAACTGAACTAATAGTGTAATACTGTAAGTAGATATCTTTTGCTCACAACACCTTGCATGGTCCGCAAAAATAAATCGAGAAAGAGAACAGTGAGAAAGAGATTGATCATACATATTTGGTGCTTCCGTTCTAACTGCCATCAGGATGAGCTAGTTGTGCTCCTGCTTGTCGGTTCTTTCCTACACCTGCACAAAAAATCATCAGATCTATGAGCAAAATATAACAAAATATTTGGGATTCAGATATTTCTAATTAATGGGCACCTTGCACATCAATACTCAACGGAGAGTTCATCAGAAGGATCAAACCAAGAAAGATCGGAGAGGAAGTCCGTGCAGCCACGCTTTCGATGCTCCAACCAGACCAGGGACCTGCTGGATATGCCCTCTGCCCTGGCTTACCTGCACCGTGCGCAACATCATATGGAACAATTTAGAATAAGGAGAGTATGCACAAAGGCTTATGTGAAGCTCACAATTTCGTCCTCATGGTTGTGTTTACCGAAGAAATCCATGACACTAAGACAGAACAGAACATGAAACAATCAAAATAAGAAAAGTGAATTACACTGTACAAATATGGAAGTATTTCATGTTTTCGCAAGGCTGTTCACCTTGAGCAGCTGCTTGACGTCCTTCTGCTCACCCCTCAGGTGCACTGATGTGTCATACACCACTGCTAAGCTAAGCTCAATGGACGCCGCCCAAGCTCCTGCACTACAGGGGAAGTGAAGAAGACAAGACACGTAGAAATCAAGGCCAGTGCGACAACAAGGGCAAGAAGAGGAGCCATCGGTACCTGGGAGGCGAGGTATAGGCTGCGGAGAGGGTAGAGCGTGAAGCCATCGGAGACCAGGTGGCAAAGGAGGCTGTCTGACGTCGCCGTCGCCGAAGGACGGGAGGGGAGGTGCGACATGGCCGGATCTGCTTTGGAGGGGCACGCCAGCGCCGCCACCGGTGGGGGAGAGGACGTCGTCGCAGCTGTGGGTCGGGGAAGCGGCGGGGCCGTGCCGCCGTGGATCGGGAAAGCGGAGGGGCCGCGCCGCCGTGGATCGGAGAAAGGGCGGGGGCCACGCCGTCGGGGAAGGGACGGGTCGCGCTGCCGCTGGTGATGTAAGAGACGGGCCGCCGTCGGTGCCTACGCCTCCCCTGCGCGAGGCCGAATGGCACACTGGGGAAAGGCGCTGTGTGGGCGGCACGGTGGAGGCAGCGGCGAAACAGCGGTGGTATGGAGAGGGGTCGGACGGGCGGTGCCGGCGGAGAGAGGGAAAGAGGAGACCAAGCGGATTGTGTGGGGAATAGAAACCGCAAGGCCGCAAAAAAAAAAGAATCGTGCGTGGGTGGGGAGCGTCGAGCAGCATACCAGCTCGAGCTCGTGGGTGAACCAGCAGGGAGGCGCCTGTGGTCGGCCCGGTCCAAGGTGGGAGTGGGGAATCCAGCTGGGAAGCGCCCGGCCGACGCCGGGTCGGTGATTCGGGACTCGGCACTGAATATTAATCAGTACCCAGGTAATATATATATATATATATATATATATATATATATATATATATATATATATATATATATATATATATATATATATATATATATATATATATATATATATATATAATAACTACTGTGACTAAAATAACTTATTACATGTAGTCACTTTGAGTTACGATAATTACTATGTTAATTTACAAGATTATAGTAACTCCTTACTAGTGGTTTACTACTATAAAGTTATGGTAAATATCCCCATGTGTTTGTGTTAGTAACCCAACTATAAATAAATAATGTATTGACATTATCATAAATATTATATATATTCAAATAGTGGCTATAAAATAAGTTATTCTATAGCCACCTATATTTACGATAATTTTATATACTAATTTTATGATAATGTCAATACATATTTACGATAGTTGAGTTACTATAACACATGAGGATATTTACCATAACGTTATAGTAAACCACTTAGTAAGGAGTTACTATAATCTCGTAAATTAACATAGTAATTATCGTAACTCAAACTGGCTACAGAATAAGTTATTTTGTAGCCAGCTACAGTAGTTCTAGACCCTATACACACACGAATCTCGATGACGTGTACTTTATAATGTATGCACATGCGCAAGATCGATAATATGCAAATCACGTGGTATGTTTTTCTTTTGTGCAGTGATCAGCGGAGATCGAATTTTTGGGACAGCTCGCACAGCTCTGCACCATAGATATTATATCATCTTCTTGATCGTCTTGTCAACGCAGTTCAGGCAACTTCACCAGTCTTTTGTGCAGTGATCAGCGGAGATCGAATTTTTGGGACAGCTCGCGCAGCTCTGCACCATAGATATTATATCATCATCTTGATCGTCTTGTCAACGCAGTTCAGGCAACTTCACCAGTCTTTGAAGTTTGAACCAAACACGCTCGGTAGTCTTGTTTTGTTCATAAATACAAAAGGTCGTGTAAAAGAGCCCTTGAGATAGAGTCTGCAAGGCCTCGTCGTGCGAAAATCCTGTGACCTGCAACTACGGGTGGATCACCTTGTGTGGGCTTCTCTCGGGTTAAAAAAAATGCTGTTTTTATGCCCCATTTAACAATTCAGCAAAATTAGAGACGTGCCGCACCTCTACAAATAGATTTAGAGGTGGTTAGATTTTGACCCGTCTCCTATATAGATGGAGCAGTTTAGGCCAACACTGCCCCCCAATCCAGTTCTCCAGGAATATCAGAACCAGTCCAAAACGCATCTGAATCGATGAAAGAATATCGACAGTTGCATCGTCAGGAGCAACATAGATTGCAGATTCATCACCTTCCAACCTTTAATTTCTCTACGCGACCAACGACGATGAGATCGATGACCCGGAGTAGATATCTTCATTGGGGGCTCCCAGAAGCACCCCACCCCTTGCAGATAATGGCCACAACTTGGCCGCTTGCTGATGAAATCGACGCCTGCAACTGCAATCTCGTCATGACAATCATTGAAGTCATCGCAGGAAACACGATCCCGACCGAAAATCATCTGATTTCACTGGAAGATTTATTTGACTAAACCCTAAGCAACTGAAAAAAAAAACGAGAAATTAAACAGATGGGTCCCCCCTTCTTACCCCCGGCAAACACGTTGGACAGGAAGAAGGAGAGGGGCCCTAGGCGCGGCGGCGGCGGCGACGAGGAGCAGGAGTTGCGGCGGCCGCGTGGCGGCGGCGGCTTGCTGAGACGGCAACCTCGTGCGTGCGGGGTTGGTGGCAAAAGGGAATCTTGATCATGGGACTCCCTATTGCTTTGAACTTGTTGATTTGCATAAGCACTTAACTTGGTTTGAATCTACTTCAAGTTTCTTCACGCGCCCTTAAACGTTTACCTTGTCGAAATTGAGTTAAACACTTGTATAGCTTATCAACTAGATCAAACACTTGGGTTCATATTCTCATGAACAAGTCATATATACCACTTGAAACAAACAAACGTACAAGCAAGAGTGGTAGACCCTAATCTTGGCATAAAGGATCCTCCCCCCATTCCAAATTATACGCTATCTTAGTTTTCTTTTAAGTCAAATCTCTTTAATTTGACAAATTTATATAAAAGTATCACTACTACAACTATCATATGTAAAGGCAGCAGCAGATGCTCTGTAGAGGTAGCTGGGCTAGCTAACTCTACTACATCGATTCATAGAGGCACAGCCGCCTCTACAAATAGGATTTCAAGAGAAGGCTAGCAACAACAGTCACATCTACAAATCGATTTCTAGAGACGGTCGTAAATCACAGCTATACCTACAAACCGTTTCCTAGAAATCATCCAAAAAATCATAAATCAGACCAAAAAATAGCAAAAAATATTTTAATTCGAGGTGGCCCCACCAAGTAACAACTCAGGTCGAGCAATGTGGGCTTGCACGTAGCTCATCTAACCACTCTACCAAAAAATGGTTGTGTATATAAGGCATGTCTATTACCCTCGTATTCACTTTTCTAGATTTTAAAATAAGTATTTGGGACCCTAAATAAATTAAAATAAAAAAGTTTTTTAATTGCAAAATTGTAGATATCATCGAGTACTACAACTTTGGCTTTGGTCATTTCTCTATTCGAGATCATTTGAAAATTTTGAATTTCAAATGTAAGAAATTTAAACATATTTTTTCTTGGATAAATGATTTCAAAATGAAAAAGTTGTATAACTGTTAGGGATCTACGACTTCAGTTTACGTTGTTTCTCGATTCGAGGTCATTTTAAATATCCAAATTTTATTGTGTTGCACCTATTTTTAAAGACGCCACGAGATCTAGCTTCCCTCTCTGCCTTTAAAGATGGAGGCATTTATAGAGGTGGCTGAAAATACCAGCAGCCCCTACAAATGTATTTTTAGAGACGATTCCTTTTAGAAACCATTTTTAGAGGCGAGTCTATATTGAGCTGCCTCTATTCAAAAAAGGAGATGTGTTTACAAATCAATTCTGTAGTAGTGTATTAAATGCATTATCATGATATTCATGGAAAATTTAATGAAAAACATTTGTTGTCGTAGATGTTTAAATATTTTTACAAACTTTGAGCAAATGTAGAGTAGTTGACGAGAGAGTATATATCACACTCGAGCAACAAACTATGACCTAAGCCTATTATTAGAAGGCAATATATCATACATGTTTGGCGAAGATCGATCTCCAGCATTGTATCGTAGAGATATATATGAACACACAACCAATGTATGTTTTACGAGATTGTTTGGTCTAATCGGATCATTTTGGTTTGTACGTTGCCAGAGAGCCATTTTCACAAATTCTGTACAAGAACGAGATGGACATAATAAGAGAAAAAAAAGAACATGGATGCAAAAGAAAATTGAATAAGATGCAACAAAGTCGAAGAGCTGGACGGTACATATCAATTGTTCCTTAATCAGCACTACTTTTCAGCTATGGGATAGTGTTTTCCTCTCACAATATTTCTGTATAAGCATCAGCATAAGCTAAATTTCAGCATAATCGAACAGGGTGATACATCAAGGATCCTTCATTCCAAATTATACGCTATCTTTATTAAGGTAGTGTGTGTGTATATACACACACTACTAATACTAATACTACTACTACTGAAGTACTAACCTGCATGGATAGGAAACACCAAAAAGAAATAGAATAGAATAACGAGGGAATGCATGGATTAACGCCTTAAGCATGGTACGGCGGTAGATATAAATTAACACACATGCAGCCAATATGCGGTTTATGATATTTTCTTGGTTTCCTCGGGATGATAAGACCACCATGCATATCAATTCCACCCAAATTTGCCGAGGAACTCTCTAATGTTCCTGTCCGAACTGCCACCTTCACTCATGGCCCTTTTAGTTTTTTCCCTCCAGTTGATTGCATTCTCCATGTATTCCTTGCTCTTTTCCCCGTCCATCACTTCCCTCACACACCTCTCCACCTCATCCTTGCTGACAACTCCCCCCACATCGGGCCGTGCTCTAACGCCAACTCTCCATATATCCTCGATGTACTTGGCATTCATTGGCTGGTCGGACCACTGTGGCATGGCCACCATTGGCACTCCAATGCCTAACCCTTCCATTGTTGAGTTCCAACCACAGTGTGTCAGGAAGCAGCCAACCGCGGCGTGCGCTAGCACCTCAAGCTGCGGGCTCCATGCCACAATAAGGCCCCTCTCCTCACTCTCCTTCACCTTACTGACGAAGCTTTCTGGCAGCTTGGACGTTTCGGGGCCCCTGACGACCCACAGAAAGGCCTTGCCGCTATTGTACAGGCCTTGAGCCATCTCGGCCAACTGGTCTGGACCCGGCGCGGCGATACTGCCAAAGGAGACATAGACAACGGAGCGCGCTGGCCTGTTGGCGAGCCAGGCGTCGCACTCCGTCGCCATCGGAGCGTGCAGGCTGAAACTGTAGGATGAATCGTCCGGCATGCGGTTGTCAAGGTAGGCTGACGGCAAGGTGGGACCAACCGTCCTGGCAGCCCACCTTGAAGCCATGTACTCCGCTTCCTGTGAAATTTCAGTATCATTTTTATTTATAACTATTCCGGCCTGCCGGCCGGCCAATGATCGATGCATGTTTTGGGTCTCATACACTCAACATACATATAGTAGACCATATTAACAAACCTCCAAAAATCAAGTACTCGGATTATATATACGAATGAGCGAACCACAGTCTGCAGTTCGTAGAAGGAGTTGATGAGGACATGATCTGCAACCTCGAGCCCCTGGCACTGCTGCAACAAGAGGTCAAGATAGGTGGAGGTGGAGGAGCTGTCCTGCTGCGTCAGGAACGAGGAGCAATCGGCCGGTTCCAGCTGCAGCCCCTTGGGCAGGCCCGGCAGCTCCGCCAGGACCTTGTCCACCGGCAGCTTCACCTTGCCTCTCCACGCGTGGTCGTACACCACGTTCACCGAGCAGGCCTGCGTGAAGAAGGCCGCGCACGACGCGCCGTGCTGCCGCGCCACGCGGGGCACCCACAGCAGGAACGCGTCGTACACCACCACGCGCACGGGCCGGCCGCGGGACGACTCGGAGCCGAGGAGCTCGTCCAGCGTGCGCGACCCGGCGGACTCGAGCCGTGCCAGGTACTCATGCACGTCGCCGACCTCGTCGTAGCCGCCAAGGTCGCAGCCATCCGAGATGGCGACGACGGGGACCGCTCCGTGTCCCGGCTGCGCTGGCGGCACGCTGGAACCAAGGGCGGAGCGGGCCACCGCTAGGGTGCACCGGACGCCGTGGTGGCTGGCGAGCCGCTTGCCGAACTGGAAGAGCGGGTTGATGTGGCCTTGGGCCGGGTACGAGACCAGGAGCACGCGAACGCTCACGTTCTTGGATCCAGCCATGGCGCAGTCCGCTGTCTAGCTGCCTCTGTTAGCGCGCGGTGCGCTGCGGCTCACTGTTAGTGGTGCGTGGCTACCGGAAGACTGAAGAAACGCGAGATCCGAGAGGGCTTCGGGGGGATACCAACTGATGTGCACAAGGACAGAAAGATCAGCTTCTCCCACGGGAAAATATATATATAGTCAAATGTGCGGCTACAGGTGGAGAAGTTGATCACCAAAGAGGTCAGAGAACAAGTCAATAAAACTAAAGTGTCGATGGAAATATACTAGGTAAAGGTTACGTGTCAAGAATGAGGAATAAAAACAAAATCAAAGATATGTTATAGTAATATATGGTCTGACTTATGTGCATTATTTAAGGTAGCAGATAAAAATGTACTATATTGTTTCAAAATTGTTTACTGAGCTCTCAATCATGAAAATTTGTCCGTTCAGTTTTGGCCCATCTGGAATGCAGCCCAAGTGGAGTTTTGGGGGGTGTCTGGTTGCTGCTGCATTGGGATTGCAAGACAAAGGCTGAGTGAAACCATATTTCAGCAAAGATAGTGTTTGATAAAGCTGCTTGTTGAGAGGATGTAGAAAAAGAAAAACTAAGATGATATTTAGTTGCATGCATGCATGAGCCGATGCAATCTGCATGACCTAATGCGGCTTGTGAGTGAAGCTCAAATTAGACGTCTCCCATCAGCTGCATCCACCCTAAATTGTATCTGCTCATGTAGACATGCAGCAAACTAAGTACGTTGCTCGCTCAGTTTTATACGCTCTGCACGTGCAGGACGAGGGGAGCACATCAACCGAACACATCCTTGATGGATGAGAGAGACTTTGCACACCATAGTTAACGAATTTATTGTCATATATCATGCGCAGCGGATGCATCTCCTAAGATTGGATATTTCACTAGGGCCGTGGACTTAAAATACACGTTCAAATAGTTGGCATCAATAATACAACTATCTCAAAGCGGCCTTGATGGGATCATGTTCTCTCCATAATGAACTACATTTAATAACCAGCGTGGTTAGAAGAAAACAAGTAAATAAAACAAGTAAAAATGAAAATATACTAACAAAGTTATGCGTGATGAACGATGTAGAAATGATCTGGCTTATGCACACTATTTGAGATAGTAGATGAAATTGCATTATACATTGCTTCAAATTTGTTTACTGGTCTCAACCATGAAAGAAGATCCGTTAAATTTTGATCCATTTGAGATGCAGGATATCAAATATAGAAAAAGAAGAACATTATTATAGACAATACTACCAACCCAATTAAATTTGAGGGTTAAGTGTTTCCATGGATGTCGACAAAAGATGCTCGACAGTTCACCGAGGGTATCCCGTGATGGTAGATTGATCGGTGGAGGTGTGCGTAATCAGGAACCGAATGGTGACACAAGGCGCAGAGACGGCGATTTAGACAGGTTCGGGCCGTCTGATCGACGTAATACCCTACGTCCTATGTCTTTGGTGTATTGTATTGATCTGAATGATCATGTAGATCGATGTCCACTAGGGGACCCCTGCCTCTCCTTATATACTCTGGAGGGGTAGGGTTATGAAGAAAGTATCCTATCTGGTACTATACAATATTTTGCGGTGCACGTCAAACAGTGTCGTGCACACCTTGATCTTGTGGGCTGGGCTACCTCTGATGGTGCGGCACATGTCTTGTCTTATGGATACCGGGGGCCATACCCCTACAGCTAGTTCCCGAGCCTGACAGTAGGTAACGTAGTCACGTGGTGCAAGGGTCAAAAAGTAGAAGAAAAGCAGAAGACCGGCCGAGCAGGCAACTAGTCCACGGGCGGAGCCCTGAATTAAAAAGCACACATTCACCACAAGGTGAAGTGTGCCTACTTAATTCTTGAGCCTGCTGGAAGATGAAGAATGAATCTTGTAGCAGAGTCAAAGAAAAAGAAGTCTGAAAGCTTGCCGACGTCGTCTGACATGCGCGTATCAAGACCCTAAACGTGCCGCCCAAGATCAGCACCCTAATCCGAACAACATGGAGCAGCTTGATAGCACACTGATGAGGCATAGCAAGATCCGACCATCAAGGGAGTCCCCGGCATAGCTGGCGACGTCCGAGCACCGAGGAGTCCCCAGTGTAGCTGGCGATGTCCGAGCACTGAGGAGTTCCCGACGTAGCTGGCGATGTCCGAGCACCGAGGAGTTCCCTGCGTAGCTGGCGATGTCCGAGCATCGAGGAGTCCCTAGCATAGCTGGCGACGTCCGAGCACCAAGGAATCCCCGGCGTAGGTGGCGATGTCCGAGCACCGAGGAGTCCCCGGCGTAGCTGGCGATGTCCGAGCACCGAGGAGTCCCCGGCGTAGCTGGCGATGTCCGAGCACCGAGGAGTCCCCGACGTAGCTGGTGATGTCCGAGCATCGAGGAGTTCCCACCATAGCTAGCGATGTCCGAGCACCGAAGAGTCCTCGGCGTAGCTGGCGATGTCCGTAAGGTGAAGTGTGCCCACTTAGTCCTCGAGCACGAAGAATCCGAGCGTCGAGGAGTAACCGACGTAGCTGGTAATGTCCGAGTACCGAGGAGTCCCCGGCGTATCTGGCGATGTCCGAGCACCGAGGAGCCCCCGGCGTAGCTAGCGATGAAGCACGAGCGACGAACAGTCTGGTCAACTGGTCGGCGGCGAAGTGAATATTGAGTAGCAGCGACCGGCGAACAGTCCGATCAACTGGTCGGCGACGAAGTCCATGAACCTAGCGGTCTGACCAGTTGATCGGTGAAGAAGTCCGAGCACCAGGTGGTCCGATCACCTGGACGATGATCCTGCAATACAAATATGTAGAACGGAAAGTATATGATGTAAAAATATATGAACTCCGAAAAAAATCGGCAATGGCGATGAAATAGCGTATGCCGCTCGGCGATCAGTTGGTGTGAAGACTTAGTGTTATTCTGAAGATGTATTTATATTTAATACAAACCGGCCGACCAGTTAGTGTGTAGCTGAGTCTCCAGCTCTAGCTAGCCTGTTAACCATAACGCGGAGTGCGGAGCCCGTGTGCGTGTAGGAAGAACAAAGCGTCGCTAAGGAGCCGCTGCTGACCACCCATAACGCAAAGGGTAGACGCTCGTGCACATGTAGGGAGGAGCCGGAGACAGGGCTGTCTCTGGGGACATCCAAGCGTCAACTTAACTATTCAGGGGTTCAGAAAATCGTTTGGAGAGCAAACATGGAGAAAACAGTTCGAAGAAACATTATAGCGATATACGAAGATTGGAGAATATTTAGAAGAATATTAAAGCATGATTTAGCTTTAGACAAAATGTCTGGTCGGCGGCGTATGGCGTTATCTGGTCGGCGACGCGGGCAGCTCGCTTAGCGGCTCGCTTGACAGCTGGAACGAAGTTGATCTCGTGTTGGAGTAGGACGGACGTAGTCGGAGCTTGGCGGTATCAATCCGCGTACGAAGACGTGTGCCGTGGTTGTCGAAGGATGTCGACGCGATCAGCCAAGTTGCTGCGAAGGATGTTGATCTTGAGTTACGACATCTGGTTCGCCAGGGATCAGCGCGCACGACCCCTACCTGGCGCGTCAACTGTCGACAAAAGATGCTCGACAGTCCACCGAGGGGTATCCCGCGATGGTAGATTGATCGGTGGAGGGGCGCGTAATCAGGAACCGCGATGGTAGATTGATCGGTGGAGGTGCTCGTAATCAGGAACCGGATGGTGACATAAGGCGCAGAGACAGCAATTTAGACAGGTGCGGGCCGTCTGATCGACGTAATACCATACGTCCTGTGTCTTTGGTGTATTGTATTGATCTGGATGACCATGTAGATCGATGTCCACTAGGGGACCCCTGCCTCTCCTTATATACTCTGGAGGGGTAGGGTTACAAGGAAAGTATCTTATTTGGTACTATACAATATCTTACGGTGCACGTCAAATAGTGCTGTACATGCCTTGATCTTGTGGGCTGGGCCACCTCTGATGGTGCGGGTCATGTCTTGTCTTGTGGATACCGGGGCCATACCCCCACAATGGATGAGAGGTTTTGCACACAATAATTTATGAATTCACATAGCATGCGCAGCTCATGCATTCATTTGGGCCGTTGACTTACAATACTCAAAGCGGCCTTGGTCAGATCATACTCTCTATGAACTACTTCTATATAAATAACACAATCAAATCCATGTAGAATAATGCAACTGCCAGGGATGCGGTTCAAATAGAACCGGCCACCAGATTATTCAAAGCAACGGATGGGATTATTGCTGACCCAACTTTTGTATGCCAACAATATGCTCAATCTCGCTCCAGAGTCCTGAGTGATTGATGAAGATTGAACATGGCCAGAGAGGGCCAATCTCCATGAATATGAGACTTTTGTTATCCTAAAAAAAACAAATGTAGAATGGAATACAAAAACCTTGCAGTACGTATTAAAACAATTGGATTTCTCCATCTAGGCCAATAAGGCATATCTGAACATTTCCGTATTCAATAGCTGAACGGCTTCCCACTACATTGCATTCAGGAGGCACAAAACAGTAATCTGGCTTCCATGAAACTATCAAATAGTAGCAAACATCCAAAAACTACAATGCTGTTGCCTGCCGCCCTAGCCGATGTGATCAGATGCACGCGAACCTTAATTCGTTGCTGCTGTGCATTTTCAGATTTGTGTGTCGACAAAGCTCGATCCACTCGTGGTCTCTTCGTCTTTCGCTTTTTCTTCGTCCATTTGTTTGCCGCTGATTCTTTTTATTTTCGATCTCAAGGTGGGAGCAGCTTTTCGGCTGCCTACAACGTGATGAAAAATACGCAACTAAAATACACCATGTTTTTTAGATCAAAGGTATTCATCCAGCTTTATTAGAAAGCATGTCGAACACCAAAGATCCGGAACTGAGGTTACCAATTTTACAGTTTAAAGCATCGAAAAAGCAAGAAACTTAACAGACATCGACTTTCTCCCTAACTAAACACTCGACTCCTTCATGTTAAAACACAACTAGA